TATAGCAATTAAATATTCTGCATGTTCTTAATTATTATATTATTGAGATGCTATGACATTAATAATAAAATATATTATCTCTGGGTGTTGAGCATCATTTTGCTGGGCATCACAGGGTACTTTGCACATAAAATGCAAACACGGCCGGGTCAAAAATCTTTTACAAGATTAAGTCAAAAGCTGACTCGCTATGGGCCTGGTGTGAAGCCTGGCTGTTCCCCTTCAGTGCAGTGCTTTCCCCAGTGTACTCGCACTGGTCCTCAGCACTACGTAGAGTCAGCGTAACCGTTTTGCTTCTAGGCTGTGAACTCGCTCTGAGCAAGCTAGCCCGGGTGTCTGCACCCTCCTTCGCTGAACTGCTTGGACTTGCCCTTTGAGCGTCTTGCAAGACAGGGATTTCAGTCTCCGACTGCCTAATCTTAGATGAATGTCCTACCCCGCTCACTATTTTTAAGCTTCTCTCCTTCCCCCCTTCCCTTCTTGTCATAACATTTTTGAGAAGTCTTGCTTTCTCCTGAGGGTGAACGGGAGAATTCTGAAATCTTAATAATGGTTACATATGAGGAATATTTCACACTGAACTCGTTAGACATTTCACACCTACTCCTCACATCCTCAAGACAGCTCTGCAGATGAATTCTTTTAAGTATAGATAATTTGGATTTTTCCCACTGTTCCTTACTGAAAAATAGAGCTTTCTGTCCTTCACAAGACAAATTAAAATTAAATTCTTTGAATGTTCCTTGAATAATCCTTGAAACAGAGGAAGAAGTTTTCTCTCAGCCTCTCCAAGGAACAGTTCATCAGTCATGCCGAAAGACTGTTTCACTTTATTAAAATTATAAAATTATTAAGATGGTTTTACTACTGCACACTACAAGTATATTACCTAAAGTAAAATTACTTCTCTTTTCATTTGCCACCAATGAAAAAAACTTATAAAAATACAGCTATTAGGAACTTGAAAATGAAATGTGTCTAACACCAAATTTTCTTTCTCAGCCACCTTCAGAGAGCTCTGTTCAAAAATGTAACTTTTACTATTTACTAATAGCAGACATGCATTGATAATCTAGTCTTAAAACACACTTATATGTGGTTTCATGGGAGTTTTTTTGGAATACAAACTCACCAGAGAACGGCAGCTCAGGAGCATGTGCTCAGAGCTTCAGTCTGAGTTCAGTTTATACTCTCTAGGCACCACAAGCAGTTATTTTGTTCAGGGACAGAGAGGCACTGGGATGCTTAGCCAGTGAGTGTCCTTCACTAGACATAGCTGTAAACAGCACAGAGGGGCAAAAAATCACAGACGAGTGCTCACCAGTAAGGAGGCAATACCAAAGTTTTCTTTTTTTTATATATTAGTGTGGAAGTCAGGAGTAAAAGCAGCAAAGCTGCAATCTATTTACACTCCTACGTCCTTGCCAAGGAAAACCATCTCTTCATGTGTGTTGCACTTATTGCTTTGTTGTTCCCTTTCTCTGCAGTTCCTTTTGCATTACCACAGCAAACACAGTCATTAATACTGCATGCTTGCAGTGCCTTTTCCCCATTAGAGAACTGTCCGTGCTGGGATGATCATGTTCAGGGATTCTGGCTGTAAAGAAGGACTTGAGTGCTGTTAATTGATAAAGCTGTGCATTACTCTTCTAAACGTGGCTGTAAATTGCTATCCAAATAAACGTTTTGTTAATAAAAAGAAAATAAGAATGATAGAACTTGTGCTGCTTTAAGAAAGCCACATGGGACAGGGCTTTAAAAACAGGTTTAGAGCTCGAAGGAGCAACGAAAGAGAAGGAATGATATTTTTCTGGTCTGGGGTTTTTGATGCAGGGTTATGGACAGAGAAAGAAGCAGCGCTACCAAATAACAGTCAGAGGTGAGAGAACGAACATCTCGCCTGCTGCGCACACAGAGGGATTTTCTCTTATCCCATATGCCCTGTTTTTACGAATCCGCTTTTACGTTGAAGCATAGGTGTGTCTGCTCAGGAGCAGCTCTTTGAAGATACCGTAGGTGTCTGTCATTAATCAGTCTGGAGATCACTCTCACAGTCGTGGAAAATGAAATGAACAGTTAGTCAGCGGGTGAAAAAACAAAGCCTCATTTTTCAAGCCTTCTTACAAGATGAACAGACACCTATTGATGATACTAGCTTTCTTGTTTTCCTTTCTCTGATTCTTAAATTAATTTACTGGATATTTGAAATCTATTTTAGACAGATCATACACATACTATCATACACAAAAACATGATTCAATATATATGTCTAGAAGATATATTAAAGATTAAAAAGGTAAGGACGTAAGCAGATAAACCCCGTAATGATAGTTGGAAAAGCTAATAATGCTGATCACGAAATATCAGGTCATCACTCTAAATTATCAGCTATTAAGAATTAATTTGTTATTAAGTGTTACTTAGAGCTCTACTACTATTTTGATGATGTGAGACTCATTACTGATTTTCTGGTGTAGGAAATTTAACAACTTCTTGCATTATATGCATTTCCTTCAGACAGATTTATAGCACTGCTGGTCTGCAGAGCATCACTGCTAGAGGTTTGGAAACTTGTAAGACCACTTTCTAGATGCCAACAAAAAAGATGTATGCATTTCAAATGCAGTTGGAGCACACTGTATGAAAATAATCATATAAGAAATCTCTTTAAGATTTCTCTGTTCTACACAAAGGTAAAGTCCCCAGGAAGTGGCTCTGTAACAGGAATGATCACTGAAGAGAGTTACACAGAAAGAAAACGTTCCTCAGGATAAAGTAGCCCTTTTCCAACGGAAAAACACTACCAGTTCGCAGAGCCTTGTATAAGGGAAGACTCACAAGCTCGGCAACATAACTCCACACTAAGGAGAGGAAATTTGGGAGCTGCAGACCACAACACCTCCCGGCCATTCCCACAGCAAGAGTAAATACGGGAATTTTACTTTGTCACTCTTTAACATAACCACAACATAAATGTCATCTTCTGTTTCGTTTCTTTCTCAGCTCTAGGTGAACAAAATAGATTTTTTCCTCTTTGTCCCCAAGTAGAGACACAGGTGTTTGTTCCCCGATGCAGATCTCCCTGAATGAGGTCTGACATCCCTTCTCTTCCATGCAGATGATCTAATTACTCCCACACGCTGCTGAAAGGCATTGCCGTTCACATGCTATGAGCTGTGTCTCGCAGTGCGCGCACCGGACATCTGCTCTCGCTGACTTCTGACAGCCAGCACCCGTCTGCTGCACAGGGCAGCGCTTACTGACATGGCACAGAAAGTACAACTGGCATCACCTTTAAAGTCAAATTCCAGCATTAAAAACACAGATGCAGTTTCTTCTAATATTTATGAGCAGGCTGTGCATATGTATCTCAAAGCACAATTTAGCCCTTAATAAACATTCAGCTTTTAGCGCGCAATGACTGTTCAGGATAAATTTACAGAAAACACATCATATTAATATTTCCAACTTCCCAGTCAGAATATCGTGCAGTATAAACTATCTCCGTTTACAAGAATGGAGTAGCTCATAAGATGTAGCATGTCAGGTAAACATATTAGGAATACTATAAGAGAATAAAGCGTATTTTCCTTTAAATTATGAAAGCATTGCAAACACACACTTATTCAAACCTTTATTTCAAGTTTGTCATCATAGTGCTTCACTCTCCAGTTCCTTATATGCTGTGAACCTCCAGTGTCTATGCAGTTGTTTCTAAGGTAACAGATCAGGATGTCTTATGAAAAAAAATGAATCAGATCTTGAATATTCAAGACATCTCCAGTTGCAGAAATGAGAAAAGGACAGTATCATCTCAACTGAGGGTTCTCAATATCTTTTAGACCCTGGCCTGATCTACAGACAACAAAAATATAATGCACCCTAAGGCTGCAGTGTGAGAGAACAGTGGTGTGTGCAATTTCAGGCATGTAGACTGTCAGAAATTTTTAATCAGAGCCATAATTAAGGAATTAGAGAGGCTGTTTTCAACAGAGTCTCATTGCCTCATTGCAGGGTACACACGCAGAGAATACAGATGAAGAATCTGTTTGGTACGATTGCGCCTTCATTCCAACCACTGACAGCCACACAGAAATCCTCCTGTCAGGCATGTGATGCACAAACCAAAAAAATACATTAAAAATGAACATGAATCAGCATGTGAAAATAAATGTGTATGCTTCTTCCTCAAGGGACCAAATATGCATTATTTCCATCAAAGAAAACAAGTTTATATATTTCATAAGTGATTACCTGAGTCAATCATTTTCAGTGAGTGAGATTATTGGGTTCTGTTGAGGGTTTTTTGTGGTTTGTTTTTTTTTTTTTTAAACTGACTAGAACGACCTTTTGTTTCTTTCAAAGGCTGTTTTGCTTAATATCTGAGTCCAGTAATCATATGAAGATATGAATGCAAGCAAGGTACATAGACAGAATATTAACCAAAATATCATGTAAAGCTTTTAGAAAACTTCTGTTACTACAAAAAATTAACTAAATTCTTTGCTTAACAATAAATGACATGCATGTTTATTGATGTATGCACTCTGGAATATGCACAAACACACCCATCATCTGTGATAAAATAATCATAAGGTATTTTTCAAATGCTCATCATAATGAGATCTAAAAAATCAAATTCATAGAAAAGGATCAGACTTGATAAAAACCTTCAGAGGTGTATTATTTTCCACACTGTGTAAGGGAAAACTGAGACATAGCAACCTGGTAGCTTGGGGATTGATAAAAGTCACAGTCATATGACCGGACAGGTCGTGACTACTCATACCCGTCTTCCTGTCTCTGAATCCTGTGCTCTACAATTGCGTTACAAATTATTGCATGCTATAAATGCTTGGAATAAAAACTGTTCTGAATATTTATATATCTTGTTTGGAAACATTCTTCACTGACTACTCTGCATGAAGAAAACATTAACAGTTTTTGGGTCATGTATCATTTAAAAAACTGAAAGGTGGATGCATTGATTAGGGTCTTACGTTCTTGGAAAGATGTGAAGAGCATCTGGAATCGGCTGCTTCGACTGCCTTCATCTGCCCACATGCGGATTACACCGAGACCTGTCCGCAGCATTACATCATTAGCAACAGTGCTGCAAAACTTTGCTTTCAAATCCTCCACAGAGCTGCTTCCGTCATAGACAGCTACAAAATTCCTTTTGCATTCGTTGGAATTCTGCATCTCATAGTCCAAGAATCGCAAATAGATCTATGAAACAAACAAGCAAAAAAGGCAACATGTACAGACATTCGAGAATGACTAAACTAACATTAAACACCTTTGCTTTAGCTCATGAGAGAATGACTACACAACATCATCATCAAAATAATTTTTCTGGAGCTGGTGGTACATAGGCCACTTCCCTGGAAGGGCATTAATACAGAAATTGAACACTGTTTATAATTGCTAGCATTTTGTCTTGCTTGAGAATAGAAACCAGTGGAAGAACTAGATATTTTTGTTTTCTTTGCAGTAAGGTCCTAATTACCCAATATATACTCGTCTTTGTAAAGTATGTACAACACTCCTTCAAGCTGAAGGACAGACAAGCTAGAAATTTCTTTCATTGGCTGGCACAATATTGCTCTGTTACTTGTCTGACGTGGAAAATAAGGCAAATAATTGCTGCTACCTCCCCAGAGTCAATATGTGTCATCTTTGTGATATGTTTTAGCTACACTAACTCAGGAAGCAAGAATCTGGGAGCCAGGCAGAACTCAATAATTATTTTTTTTTATGTTTCCTCAAGAAATTTGGCCACCATCTCAGCTTTTCTAAACAAAGCCTTGTAGTATATATCTTTATAATTTAACAGGGTTGAAATCAAGCGTATTTCATGTCAACTACTCGTAACCTAAAAAGTTTTTTAGAAAATGTTTCTTGCATACAAGCTAAGTTCTCTCATAAATGTAATAGATGTCTTGCCCTTTGAAAAGACCTCTTCAAATCTACCCAAAAAGAAGCAGGGGTGAGAAGAAAATGCTATTATTTGATATTCAACTCTACATGGACTTTAACAGGGAAAACCACTCATTTTAAATGCAATTGCTAATATAACCAACATCAAACATTCCAGTAACAGAGAAGCTAAGTAATATTTTCAATAGACACATGATACAAAATCAAACTGCCAGGCATACCCAGGAGACTTCAGGATAATGATACAGGAAGGTGAATTAAGGCAGAGATAACATAAAAAAACAGTAAAGTTATCCAGCATCCAGTTGTATGCATCTTCACTTGAAAAAATAATCAAAAAGAAACTCCACTGCATTGGACATCAGATATACTTCTTTACAAACAAATTTATTAACTTCAGGTAGTTTTTTACATGCACAGAACAGTTGCTTAAAAAGTTTCTCTGGATTTGCATAAAGCACACAAACATAACATATCCCAGTAGCAACAGGATTCACCACTTCATTATATTACAGTTCTTATGGTTTGAGAATTATGTGCTATTAAGCAGTCTGCCACAGTTTAATAATAGCTCAGATTTTTAAATGAGCCTTTTCAGGTAGTGTATTGTGGTACATTTTCATTCCTTGCTGTTCTTTGCAATTGGTCTCTCTGAAAAGAATATTTGTAAAACAGTTTTTACTAGCATATGAAATTTGGTATACTAAGTTACATTTTGCTTCCCTAACTCTCTTCTAGTATGTTATTTCTTATACTAATCACTGCTTATATTCCAACTTTCCCATCCTCCAGAAACACTCAGAGGAATATATTTCAATTAAATTGCAGTTAACGAATTCTACTTTCACCATGTATCCTGGTTTTTAAATGCTATAAATTAAGGAAGCTGCTTGTATTGATCTCTGTAAAATGGAACAGTTAACAGCAATACACAAAGTAATATTCAGATGGCAATATCTTATATCAAGGAATACTTTTTCTAGTGTTTTTCATTTCATTTACTGGTTGCTCCACCCCTGCAGTAGAATGAAAAATTAGTAGAGTTTGGTCAACAAACATTGCTGAAATTTTCTAACAGTATTTGCCACTTTTTACAAATGTGTTGTCTTGAAATATTTTGCAATTTCCTCTCCTACTGGGGCACATGCAATTTCCATTCCCACCTACTTCCTTCACAAAGTCATACTTATAAAGGTTTGTTTTGAATTCTGAAGATTTGTTGAGTGCAGAAAATGCATTTCTGAAGTTCCTCTGTGCTGGCTACATAACTTACAAGTCTCCCTTTCTCTCTCTGCTCTCTTCCTCCCTTTTCCAGGTACTCAGGTACCTGATCCTTACTCCTTCTCATGCTCCAAATCCTTGTTCTTGGTGTTCTCCAGCTCTTTAGAGCATTTCAGTCTTGCTGATGCCTGCCTACTTTCACTCCTCAGATGTTCCTCGTCTTCAGTGTGGCTTCTGCTTTTTTCTGTTTATGTAGTATCAGCCATTTGCACAGCCACCAGACAGATGACGGACATTTGCTGCCAGTTACTTAGAATCATAGAATTATAGAATAGTTTAGGTCGGCAGGGACGTTTAAAGGTTATCTGGTCCAACATCTGTCCCTGCAATGAGCAGGGACATCTACAACTAGATCACGTTGGTCAGAACTGCATCCAGCCCAACGTGGAATGTTTCCAAGGTTGGGGCATCTACCACCCCTCTGGGCAACCTGTGCCAGTGTTTCACCACCCTCACTGTGAAAAATCTCTTCCCCACGTCTAGTCGAAATCTCCCCTCTTTTAGTTTAAAATCATTACCTCTTGTCCTATCACTACAGACCTTGCTAAAATGTCTGTCCCCATCTTTCTTAGAAGCCCCCTTTAAGTACTGGAAGGCTGCAATCAGGTCCCCCAGAGCCTTCTCCTCTCCAGGCTGAACAACTCCAACTCTCTCAGCCTGTCCTCACAGGAGAGGTGCTCCATCCCTCTGATCATTTTTGTGGCCTTACTCTGGACCCACTCCAACAGGCCCATGTCTTTCCTGCGCTGAGGGCTCCAGAGCTGGACACAGGACTCCAGGTGGGGTCTCACCAGAGTAGAGGGGCAGAATCCCCTCCCTTGACCTGCTGGCCACACTTCTTTGGATGCAGCCCAGGATACAGTTGGCCTTCTGGGCTACAAGCACACATTGCTGGCTCATGTCCAGCTTTTCATCCATCAGGACCCCCAAGTCCTTCTTGACAGGGCTGCTCTCGATCCCATCATCCCGTAACCCATAATAATACTGGGGGTTGCCCTGATGCAGGTGCAGGACCCTGCGCTTGACCTTGTAGAACGTCATGAAGTTCACTGTTTTTTTTTTACTCTTGCTCACTTGTTCTTTATTTCTATCCTGCTCTCTTATATGTATATATTTATATGTATATATGTATGTGTGTATGCATATATATAAGCACACATATATCTTCTATAGGGTATCCCATTTCAGTATTGAGTTATAATTTATATTCATTTTCATTCTTACAAGAAATGTGTGCTAGTCCTCTCTGTGGTTATAAAATACCATCTCTCACAGCAATTTCCAGCATTTATCAATTATTCCTGATGCATTTAACAGATTGTTCGTATAACAGTACAGCCAAAGTTTTATTTCCATGGGCTTATATTTTGCCATTATCTAGTTTCTGGTGGCATGCTTATAAAATAGTAAAATATTTCTTAGAGTAACAGGTATAAATGCTGAGAAGGAATCAAGAGGACAATAACTTAGCATTTCACTTTGAGTTTTTCAGTGAAGAAGCCAGCACTTCAATTTTTCCTAAGCTTGAATGCTGCTGTCAGTCATACTGGTTCATTTCTCTGTGTGATACATTCAGCTAAGATCATAACATATATGGACTTGATAGGTACGGGAACCACTGGAAAGAGATATTTGGCTTTAAAATCTATGTCCGTCCTTCAGAAGACAGATGGAACCTTCTCCAATGGTATGCAGTTTCATAAAATAGAGAAAATAAATTCCTGATATTCTGAGGTGAGTCGGAGTTTCATTCTCATAGTCTCCTTTGGAGATGACTATTCCCAGAACTTCATATAAAATAATGAGGACTTGATCCAAAACTCACTGAAATCAGTGGGTATTCTTCCATTTGCTTAAGTTTATTTGGATCAGACCTATGGATTAAGACTGCAGTACATTTTTAAAAACTGGAAACTGATTACACAAACTGACAACCTCATATTGGATCAGATTTTATTTTAAAGAGCTGGAATAATGCAATTGCATCTGCACACCTCTGCCAATTTTTATGGTTTTATTACTATATATTTGCCATTGTTCCTGTCACTGGCTGCAAGACCCACACTGGCAGGAAAAAAGGCCTAATAAATTGAGTCTCCCAGGGAAAGAATAAAACTGATTATATGACAAACTGTTATCTAATGCAAAATGTTCCTGATGCATAGTTTTCTGAAATCAGTAGCAATATTCTCATTACTTTCACTGGTTTGTGGATCTCATGAAGAGAAATTAAGCAGAAAGTGGGAGAAAAATTGTCAATATTTCTGGTTATTTCATTTACGGAGATCTTAGTCATTACTTCTACCAGCAGTGAATAAGAAGCTTTGCTCCCCCAAAAGCAAACAAATGAACAAAAAACAGGTCACAAACTCAAGTGCTACCATCTGCCTTCATTAAGCCTTTTTTCACTGATAACAGTGGGAGGTTTTAGAATGATAACATTTCTGTAGGTACTGATCCATTATATTGGCACAATTGGGACATTCTTGTTGAAGAGAACATCTTATTTGAAAGAAATAGCATAACTGCCATATCTTCTTCATTCACATTTTTTTTGTAAAGTTTTAATAAGACACTTTCCTCAAATGATCAGTTCCACATCACGTTACTTAGGAGAACGAGCTGCTAGTGCACATATATTGGCTTTTACTGAGCTTTGAGATGTCACTGCAAATGCCAATGTCATTAACAACAAAACTGATAAAGCCTCACTGCAACTATGGCACATATAATTTACACTCAGTCACATTATATTTTAAATAATTGTCTTGTCACCTTTAAGGTTTGTATTGTCATCATAGTAATGAAAAAGGAAATGCTGGATCAGTTTTACTATTTTTTTAATGTAAATTTGAAAACAACAGAAATCTCTGACTGTATAGATTAGAAAAAAAAAAGAAAGAATGATTGTAAAGTATTAATAATATATCACCTCAGTAAAATAGTCAGATTATAATCTCTTCATAGTGAATCACTTTTGATGAGTTCTGCTTTTTAATCAATCACTG